CACGGGAGCGGGGGTTGGGATGAGGGCGGGGGCTCCCTGCCAGCCCCCCCACCTCGCCATGCGGCGCTGCCCCCTGCTGTCGCTGCTGCTGGCCCCCGGGGCCGTTCAGCGCGGCTACACCATCCTCATCCTGCCCCTGGGCACCGGGCTGCGTAGCTGGGAGGCGGAGCACTTCTTCCTGGGGGTGAGTGACAGCTCCGCCCTCGGGAACCCAGGCGCCCGGGGCGCCCTGCTCTAACCACCAGCCCCCACTGCCCTCTCAGAGCCGGGGAGAGAACCCAGGTGTCCTGACTCCCAGCCCCCTCTGCTCTAACCACCAGTCCCCACTCCCCTCCCAGAGCCCGGGAGAGGACCCCGGGCGCCCTGCCCCCCGCCCCCCCCCCCCGCTCTAATCCACCAGCCCCCACTCCCCTCCCACAGCTGGGGAGAGAACCCAGGTGTCCTGGCTCCCAGCCCCCTCTGCTCTAACCACCAGCCCCCACTCCCCTCCCAGAGCCCGGGAGAGAACCCAGGCGTCCGGGCTCCCAGCCCCGAGCCGGGGAGAGAACCCAGACGTCTGGGCTTCCCGCCCCACGCTGACCCCCGTCTCCCCCCAGCTGCAGCGCAGGCAGGCGCGGGAGCGGGAGCGGGACGCGCTGCTGCAGGGGCTGGAACTGGCCGAGCGCCTGCGGGGCTGGTATCGGCGCCACCTGCTGGAGGCCCAGCGCAGGCAGGAGCAGGCGGGGGCGGAGCCGGTACGTACCATCGCCCCCTAACGGCGCGGGGGGGGATGGGTCAGGTCATTGTCTTTGGGGGGGGATGGGAGGGGTCAGATCGGTCCATTGTCACAATGGGGGGTGGTTCGTGTTTTTAATTGAGGGGTGGGCAATAGATCAGTCCATTGTTTCTAATGGGGGTGGATAAATCCATTGTTAGCCTGGGAAACATGGATCAACCATTTTTATTGGAAGGAGACACGGATCAATCCATTGTTATTGTGAGGGGGATTGGATTGATCTGTTAGTATTAATTAGGAGATGGGGATGGATCAATCTTTGGGGTGGATCAAACCATTGTGATTAGAATGGGGATGGATCAGTCCCTTGGGGGGTGGAAGGATCAGTCCTTTAGGATTATGCGGGGAATAGATTGGGCCATTGCTATGAATAGGGTGGTAATGGAGCAGGCTGTTGTTACTGGGGGAGGGGGGGAGCAGAACTCAGTCCATCGTGTAAAGTGTGAAGGGAGTGGTTTGGTCCATTATTAATAATGGGGGGGATGGAGCGGTCCATTGTATTTAATGGGGTGTGTGGAGAGAAGAGATGATTTCATTATTACTGTACAGAGGGGTGAGGGTTACCAGGTGTCCGGTTTTCGACTGGAACACCCGCTCGAAAAGGGACCCTGGGGGCTCCGGTCAGCACTGCCGACTGGGCCGTTAAAAGTCTGGTCGGGGGTGCTGCGGGGCTAAGGCAGGCTAGTCCCTGCCTGTCCTGGCTCCGCGCTGCGCCCCAGAAGCAGCCAGCAGGTCCGGCTCCTAGGCAGGGGGGCCACGGGGCTCCACGCGCGGCACCGGCTATGCACTCCCATTGGCCGGGAACCATGGCCAATGGGAGCTGTGGGGGCGGTGCCTGCAAGCGAAGCTGGCGCGTGGAGCCTCCTGGCCCCCCCGCCTAGGACCCAGACCTGCTGGCTGCTTCCAGGGTGTGCGCAGCGCAATCAGAGGGGCTGGGAGAGGCTGGGACCCTGCCTTATCTCCCCCCACCCCATTGCCCCACTGACCAGGAGCCGCCCGAGGTGAGCCCCTGCCCCAAGCTCCCTCCCACCCCCTGAACCCCTCACCCCCTCTGGCACCCCAACCCCCTGCCTCAACCCACAGCCCCCTCCCCTGCTCCAAATCCCTCAGCGCCACCCTCCTGCACCCCAAACCCCTCCCCCGCTCCAAATCCCTCAGCGCCACCCTCCTGCACCCCAAACCCCTCATCTCCAGCCTGACTCCAGAGCCCTCACCCCCTCCTGCCCCCCTACCTCCTGCCCCAGCCCAGTGAAAGTGAGTGAGGGTGGGGGAGAGCGAGCCACCGAGGGAGGGGGAATGGGTGGGGGCGGGGCTTTGGGAAGGGGCGGGGCTAGGATGTTCGGTTGTGTGTGACTAGAAAGTTGGCAACCCTAAGAGGGGTGGGTTGTTCTGTTATAAAAAGTAGGTGGGGTGGATCAGTCCATTGTTATCATTAGGGGTGAATGGACTGATCCATTGTCACTGACTCATGAAGGAGAAATGGACCGATCCATTGTAATCGCTGCAGGACAGATGGGTCCACAGTATTATTGGGAGGAGGCAATGGGTTATTCCATTCATATTATTAGGGGGATGAAGGGCAGGAACAATCCATTGTTACTGTTGGATGGAGGATATTGGCTCATTCCATAACTATTTAGTGTGGATGGATCATTCCATTGTTTAGTGTGTGGGGGGGGAGTGAAATGGATCATTCCATTGTTCCCATGACGGAGGGGTGAACTGTGATATGGGATGCAGTGGATCAGCCCAAGCTGCACAGGGTGGGTACAGGGGACCCAGGCGTCCGGCAGGTGACTTGCACGCTCGCGGCAGGAATTTTCCCCATTGACTATTTCTTCTCCCCGCCCCCCAGGATTATTTCCCGGATTCGTGCCCCAATCAGAGCTGCCTCCTGCTGGCCAAGATCCAGGAGGTGAATCTCGGGCTGCGAAACCTACTGGCCAGCCCTGGAAAGGTCAGCGGGGGAGGGCTAGCAGGGGCTGCGGGTTGGGAGTGAGGGGCACCGGCAGAGCTGGGGGGGGAGAGCCCAGGACGGGGATAGCAGGGGGCTGCGGGTCGGGAGTGAGGGGCACCGGCAGGGGGGCAGGAATGGGGAGCTAGGCACTCTCTTGGCTGGTATGAAAATGAACTCCACTGATCTGTTTTTCCCCCCCACCCAGGCTGACCCCCCACCCTGCTTCCCTTCCAGCCGGTTTGGGGGCCCCGTCTTCCAAATGGGAAAGCAGCAGGAATTTCAGCAGCAAGCCGTGAACGTGCTGAAGGAGCAGAACCGCCTGCTCATCAAGGTACGGAGGCGGCCATGGGCCCAGGAGGGGGAATTTGGGACTCGGAAAACGGCGGCAGAGAAGGGTTCAAGATGGCCGACTCTGCAAAGTCCACCCTGCCTCCCTCAGGGTGCGGCAATTGGTCAAGATGACCAACTCTCTCGGGGTCTCTGCCCTGCGCCCTGGTGGCTCGGTTAGCTGAGAAGTCGCATAACAAGATGGCCACCTGATTGTTCTATTCCTAGAGTGGCAAGGGGTGAGATTCAAGATGGCCAACCGCACCCAACTCTGCCTTGTGGCAAGGTTGGGTTTGAGGCCCGGATTCAAGATGGCGGCCTAAGGTGCCTAGCGGTGAGGTTGGGCGGGGGGGTAGGGCAACGAATGGAGAGCTCTCTGCTGCCATGTTTTGACAGTGGGTTCAAGATGGCCGCCTCATGCATCTTCATTGCCAGGCAGCCAGGAGGTGAGGCAAGGAGGTAGCGCCCCAAGCTGGCTGCCTGGGGAAGAGGCAGTGCCACCAAACGGCCACCAGATCAAGCCTTCCTTGATAGATTGGGTGAAGGCCCAAGATGGCCGCCCGAGAAGCGAGGGCTGTCGACTAGCGGCAGGGATAAGCGATGGGCAGCACAACAAAATGGCCGCCTGAGACATCTTCCCTGCCCCGGAGCATCCAGGTTGGGCTGGGGCAGTGGGCTCAAGGTGGCCGGGAGGTTAGCGCCACCTGCTGGCTGTCCAAGGAGTCCGTGCTTCCCCCTTCCCATCCAGGGGGGCGGCTGGGGGGCCGGGCCAATACGGCCACCCGAGCGTGACCGCTGTCCTCTCGGCGGCAGGAGGTATCAGAGAAGAGCGACCGCATCGCCCAGCTGGAGCAGGAGAAGGCGGCCCTGTGCAGGCAACTCCAGGAGAGCCGGGGCTACCGGCTGTCCAGCCACAAGGAGTCCACCTTCATCTGATGGACGAGGTCACTTCCTCCTGCAGACCTACCTGACGAGGTCACTTCCTCTCTCACACCAGCCAGACCCTTCTGAGAGAAAAGACCTAATTTTCGCCCAGCCCAATGATATCACTTCCTGTCGATCTCCCAAGGCCAATGAGGTTACTTCCTTCTGTCTCACCCCCCCAATGCACAATGAAGTCATTTCCTGCTGGACCTGGAAGGAACTAGCTCACTTCCTCCTCCTGGCCTATTATGTAATTTCCTCCTTCCTGTCATTGGTCCATGATGTCACTCTCCTGATGGTATTACATCATCTTCAGACTCTGCTGACATCACTTCCACTTCAGAGCCTTTAGGTGTCACTTCCTCCCTTTCCTCCTCCTCGCCTTTTCTGATGATGTCACTGACGTCTTCACTTCCTGTCCCTTCTTCCTCCAGCCCCTGTGCGGTTTCATCATGGTCAATTCCAACCCCGCCCCACCCTCTGAGGTCACGGCCTTTCTCATGGACACACGCACACAGCCTGACACAACCACCCCATGATGTCACACTCCTGGCTTCCTGTCATCTGGGAGCCTCCCGATGACATTACTTCCCATTTTGACAGGCTGGTCTCCGAGACTGGGGAGCAGGGGGAAAACAACAGTGAAGGATTATGGGTAACAAGAGGGCTAATAACCGACTGTCCAAAGAGGCTTTCAATGGGGAATACCCACAGTGCTTTGCACCAGCACCAGCATGACCCTTGGCTATAGATCTATGGGATCCCCACCCCGCCCTGCATCCCCGTCCACTTCCCCTTCGACTCCCCCTCTCCCCCCACACACACCTGTCAACCTTACTTTTACCTGTGTGCATTTTCAGGGTTCCCTCCCTGACCCCTCTGTGGGGTGTGACACATTGTCTATGTCTAAGTGCCCTCTAGTGGCTGGATTCAGACCTGTGCATGTGTCATTAGCCCTCTAGTGCTAAAAGCTGATGGGGATTCTCCTTCCATCACCTACCTTTACCCACAGCATCCCTTTGACAACACATGGCGTGAGCTTTAACCTCCGTGTTAGCTCCCATCCACCCCCACTTCAAACAATGGATGTAGGGGGAAGACGCCTCCAAGATATTTATTCTAATGGCTGTAAATAAATTGATTAGAATTAATATAATAAAGTTATAATAAACTTCAAAAGGAAAGAACAGAATTCAAGCTTCACTTCTTCATTCAGTGTCCCACTCCCTGCCTCGCTGAGCCAGCCAGTCCCCTGGACTGGGGCCAGATGGGAGCCAGCACCCCCTAGAGGGGAAAGGCCCTGTGCCCCAGTCCAAGCCCTGGAGCCGGATGGGAGGTGGCGCCCCCTAGAGGGGACAGACCCTGTGTCCCAGTGTCACAAATCAGAATTGAAACTCACCTCTTCTGCCGCTTTATCAATTTTCTTTATTAACAGCAGGTTAATTTAAAAAACAATGGTATTATCTTTAACCAAAAAAACAAAAAAATTAGCACAAACACCCAAACAATAAACCCAATTTAAAATCATAACCCAGAAATACCAGAATCCCCGGAAATAAATATAATCCAAAACCAATTCACTGACTGGAAATAATTAGCCAAAATATACAGACCAGCCATAACTCTTCCAACCATTAGGAGACTAAATTTAAAACGCATCTGGGGACGATCATTGGGTAGCATTGAAAGGTAGAACAGAGATCACAGCCCCGTCATGCCAGGCACTGCAGACCCCGCCCTCCACAACTAAGATCAGGGCCCCCAGGACGCCAGGTGCTGCACACACCCCTCCTGACCGAGATCAGGGCCCCTGTTGCACTA